TAAAATACTGTAATAATTGTGTTTGATGTAGACACTGAGAAAGCCTGGGGAAAACGTTGCTTGACACTTTCTTGAAAATTACTTTGTGACTTCTGCAACTACTTGAAAAATTAAAACTAAATGAAAAAAGGAGGAAAGTTGAAAGAGAAAGAGGAGGAAGAAACAAAGGAGGAGAAGGAGGAGAAAGACAAGGAAGAGGAGAAAACCATTACCATTGGGTTTTAAAAGAAGGATGAGGTTATGCAAAGGACTTTGGTTCAACTCCAGATGTGCATTGTTTAATGTACCCGAGATTCCATTTTTATGTTGGTATCGTGTGGTCAATAGATCAGGAAACAAAAGCCATTGTTTTTCACAGTTCTCAGGATAGAAGATGCATCACATCATACAGAGTTACTAGGAAGGACTGGGTTTGATCAAGAAACAGAAGGGACAGGAGAAAAACATGAGTGGGCCAGAGTCTCTCGTATGGTTTCCGTGGGTAGCAAAAGGTGAGGGACAGTACGATGCTCAGCAGGATGTGGGCTAATAAGGCTATTTTAGAAGACTCTGGGAAGACAAGTGGATTTTAGCTACCTGTGAGTATGGGGTAATTCACATCATGGGGAGCATGGGATTCTCCATTGAAAATGTCCTAAGGGAGGTGGTTGCAAATAAGAGTTCTGAAATGGTTGGTTTGTGTATCAAAGATGTGCTTCCCAGCAATTTGTTTACTCTCTCTAGGAGCTGGCTAGTGCTCTGAAGGGCAGCCCCCACATCCTGGTCTGCTAGTCAAGATGTTAAAACATTGTGAAATATAGGAGAATTTTACAAACCTGATTAATACAGTGTACAGCTTCCCAGCAACTATACTATCATAATGTTATTCACTCTTAGAGTCTTATTAGTTTGTCTATGTAATTTGCATAAATACTATTTTATTAAGTTACCTGGAAGATTAAATAGCATAGACTCTATCTACTGTACTTAGAACAGTGCCTACCATCATTGACTAACTTTAGTGGAATATGCTGAGGGTGTGTATTACAGGTTTTACTTAAAATATTCCCAAAGCCTCAGGGAACTCCCAGGTGGGGTTTTGGGGAGTAGCTAGATCATGTGGTTAAAGGTATGTGACAACTGATTTAGTCTACTGACTGGTTTAGCACAATCCTGTGTGTGGATAATGGGAAGGCCTACTGAGGGTGGTGATGATACCACCCAATAGGCTTGTAGCCTGGATGGGATGGATAAAAAGGGAAAGGAAGCCTCCCCACTTCTCCTCTTCTGCTTCCTGTGTCATGATCTATTCCTCCTTCACCATGCCCTTCTGCCATGTCACTCTGCTTTTGGACAACCAACTATAGACTGAAACCTCTACAAACTGTAAGCTGAAATAAATCTTTCCTCCTTAAACTCTGGATGTCAGATATTTTGTCCCAGAAATAAGAAAAGTAACAAAGATATTATGCAATGTTGCATTCTTGACCAAAAATAATATCTAATACAATGGTGGATATTTTTGGAGAGTTCAAATAACAATCTATACAACAGTGTATGCCATTCTGTTCTCAGAAGGCAAAATGCTTTTATTGTGTGTCATTCTATTCTATTGTTTCTTATACTAAAGTTCAGGATAAATTCCAGCAAGGAATATATTTTGGTAGCAAAGAAATTCTTAGCACTATGTTAAGCTACAATGTGTACTTAAAATAATCATTTCACAGTTAGAAAGTGATTTGAAAGTTACCAATGTAGAGTACAATAAACATCTATATTCCAACTTCAGACATCAATGCCCCATACTTTCTTTTCACAGTAAGCACTAACTCCAATTCACATTGTATTTGTAGGAAACAGTTGGTTTTCAGCTGCACCGTACTCAGGCTGTTGTACTCAAAATGTTGTTATAGTTAGGTTCATTTTTTTATATGAAAATCAATCATGGTTTGTCAGCCAGAGAAGGTTAAAAGTTAATTAGTAAATGGAGGACTTCACCACTCATCTGTAGACCTTCGCAGGGGCATCCAACTAACTATAAATGCTCTCACCACTTCATAAATTAAGCTGGGTCTACAAATAGTGACCTATTTCAAATTAGATGCAAGAGTCACCCTTCAGGAGCCATGGAGATGAAGATGTGCCCTTCCAGATAGAATGATAGTGGTCCTTCAAGAGATCTCCTTAAGCATGTTTAATTTTGGTCATTGTGACAAGTTGGAAACAAGCCTGATAAAAACCAAAGACTATATAAATTGTCTAAGAAAATTAAGATGCAAGTGATCCACTTAAATAATAGCCTGAAGTCAGGTAATTTTTATTATACCGATATATTTTCTGTAATATGATATTCTATTAATTCTTCCTTAAATAAACAAACTGATTAAAATTTCATTATGCCGACATCTCACAATAAACTTGGATCCACGGCTCCCTTTTCTTTTTGTTTATTTAAGTCCCTATAATTAATTCTGGATTTATGTCATTTGCTGGTCAATGTTACAGTCACCTTACTAACTACTTAAGCAATTGGAAAGCTGTCGGAGCTCACAGGAGCAGTGGGTGCTACCCCACGGTTTTAATCTAATCCTTCTTTTGTGAAGTTTTATTTTCCCATGCTGTGGCATTTTCTTTTAGCCAAGTAATTAAATGTTATTGTCTTCATTTTATGCACAACAATAATTTTAAGTGTAGGTTTCAGCTGGACAGATGTGGCAGGAAAACTTTGTCCAACACGCAGGCTACTGACACTTTTTTCCTTTTGATTATTTTCTTTGTTTCAGTCCCCAAACTATTTTGTCATAATTAATAAATTTAAACTATTAAGTTACACAAAGGTCTTAAGAATTTTCCACATGGTTTGGTTCCCGTCATTCATGTTATTACTTCATTATTTCAATAGACATTGGCTACACTCAGTGCAAACATTTCAGAGCATGCATGGAAAGGGCTACTAAAGCATTTCTGTGCTTTTGAGGACCTCTTTTCTTTCCCCATCAACCAAGTTATGTGGGAATTTCAGAGCTTTACATCTGAACCTGTGAGTGATACAGCGTTCTCTCTTGACATTTTGAAGATGCACAACTTCTCCCAACTTTTAAAATTTGTTTATGTAAAAAAAAAGTTTAGAGAATTCTCTTTGGACAGAAATAAAACAAAACATGATTAAGTAAACTGTTCACAAGTAATTCACCCTTTTACCTCATGATTATTCCTGTGAACCAGAGCAGGTGTTGGGTATGTGCTCACTGCTTTAACTAGCTTTGGGAGAAAAACTATTTCTACTTAAAGAAACTGCAATTTATATAAAATCCCAGATCAGTGAACCTTGGCTTCAGAATGATTCTCTGAAAGAAATATAATAATAGAGATGGCCATGTTCACCTTTAGTTTTTTTGTTCGTTTGTTTGTTTGAGTTTTAGTTTGGCTATCAAAGACTTTCATATTTAGCAAATACTAATTTGATAAAAATGCTTTTTTTCTCCAGCTACAGCCATAGTCTCACATAATGTTATCTCCGTAGCTTGTTTCTTTGGCTCCTTGGTATGAATCATTCTTCTACTTATTTTATCAATAACTAAAATGCTTATGTGATGATGTACATACTAAAGCAATACTAAATCTTTATGACTCTATTTCTCCCTCATATTTTTTAACCTAAGGTTTTTCTTATTATTCTTTGCTATAGAAATCTTTCATTAACAGTAATGGTAATAATATCCTGATAATACCACTTGATTATGTGCCATTAAGTATGTTATCCAGTTTTCTTGCACAGTAAGCTTTTATCTAATATGATGTTGAAATTTCTTTTGCAACAAGAGCTATGTCTCATACTGTAAAATATATAGGATACACTGGTATTTTTCTCATACCGAGGCCCAGGCATGAGATGACTCACATACACGGAATATTTATGGAAACACCCACTTCATCTTTTTCTCCAGCACAATGCATGCCTTATGGTACTGCAAAAAGGCTTATTCTAAAACAAAAACAAATAGGCTATGATAGAACTGCATAATTCTTAAGAAAGACAGGCATTCAGCAATACTATTGTAAGCTTCTGCGTCATTTGCAAAACAAAAACAAGCACAAGAACCTGTCACAAAATCATGCAACAGTAGTGCATCTGTGACAGTAGCATTAGCAAACTTCATCTATTTGGTTCCCTAACTTTCCACTGTTAGCTGCATCTTGGAAGCCTTCCATATTTGAAGACAAATATTGGATGCAGAATAAAATGGCTTTGAAAGTTTTTAGACCTGAGGTCAAATCCAGGAGAGTTGCTGGTTACTAGATGAACCACACTGAGGGGCATTTTGCTTAGGGCCACTGTCGGAATATGTTAAGCAGCAAACACAGTGCCCTTACAGGAGGTAGCCGTGACAGCGGTCCTCTAACACAGCACGGTCCATTTAAGGACCAGTGCCAAACTGCTGTGAGACTGAATGAAGAAGGAGAAGCAGGCCTATCTAGGGTTACAGAGGGTATGGTTTATTGGAGGTGCTAAGTGAAAGTGTTACCCTGGGTGTGTTGGAAATAAGCTCCCAGATTCAAATTGTCAGTGCTGGAAAGAAAGCCAGTGGATACCACAACACAAAGTTCAAAGTTCACTTGTGCAGAACGCTGCAACTAGGAGGTACCACGCCCCCTAGCATGGGGATGCGGGAATTTAAGCCCTTGTACTTGGGAAGCAGGTATCCTCTAAAGTCATTGGTTGAATTCAAAGGCTTGTAGTCTATGGCGGTTGGCTAGTTTAAGAAGCGGGAGGGGAGAGTTCGAAGGATTATAGAGGAGGAGGGAGAGTGGAAGAGAAGGCCTGGGGACAAAAAGTCTTTAAATATCGAACCATCTTTGGCCTGCAGCTACGTTCCCAGAGTGTAAACCCAGCAGCACTTTCTCCTAATTCTCTGTAAGGGGTGGGGAAGGACAGTCTAGGGTGGGCTAGTGTTTAAATCAGTCTTTTAATAGAAAAGACAGGTTGGCAGCAAGACCAGTTGGATCCCCTGAGTTTGGATCGGAAAGCGGGATATAGATACGGATCAGGACAAAAGTGACTTCATCTTAGTTGCAATGTACCTGTTTTATCCTAAGCTAATATTAAAAGGAGACACATTCTTGGAGCCAAGATCCTGTTGGTAACTCCAGGTACCACTTGAATTTCTTTTTCCTTTTAAAGTTCCTATAGTTTGCTTGCAACAATGCAGAAAAAAACGAAGTAGTGCTACTCGGGGCAAACACGGTAGTTACCACTCCATATAACTTCAGTTATGTCAAGCTAAATGCACACAAGTATTCAGGGAGAAATAGCATATATTTCTCACAAAAATAGCTCCACCCAGTGACCCTCTAACTCTTAGTGACAAACTCCATGTCTTTATGTAACAAGTTTTATTAACTTTCCATCTCCCACTGTGGAGAAACACAAATGTCTGTACTCCATTGCTTTCCATGTCCAAATCTTACAGTCCCCCCCCCCCTTTCTGGACTTCTCTTTAATTCCCCTGAGTACACATTCCATTCTGTCAAAATCTGTTTATCAACTCTGTAAGATTCTTAAATCCTGTTAAGGAGTTTGTTTCTTTGAAGAAAAATTACAATGCATATCAAGTCAAGGTAGAATTTTCTAGACAAAGGTATAGTCTTGTGCATGGCTGTCTATGCCTACACTTAACCCCAAAACAAGTACTTTCAGACTAAAAGTCAAACTCAGTCTCTCTCTCTCTCTCTCTCTCTCTCACTTCTTCCTTTCTCTCTGCTTCAGTCTATTGCCTCTTTCTGTCTGTCTCTCTCTCTCCATTTCTCCCTTCTCTTTATAGTCTTTTGATGTGCATATATTTCATAGGCTAGGAATTCATGACATACAAAAACTATTTTCTACTTACTGTTACCTCACATAACTAACCTTACTGTTACCATTAAGGTGGTTTCCAAGGAAGCACACAGGTAACTTTATAATGAACCATTTTCTAATGAATGGATTTGCACTGTACATTCACCAAATCCCTTTATATTGCATTCATTGTGCTTACTCCCATGCCGGTCTTATGTCTGAAGAAGCTCTGTGTCACTGTTTTACGGGCTGGGGAGAAACAGATTCTGCCCAAAGATTGTAAGTACTCTTCCCTGTGCCATTTCCTTGGTATACCTTTTGTCGCTAAGGAAAATACTTTTGTATTTTCCTGAGCCAGCATTTTAATCTACAGACCTTTGAGAAATCAGTTGACATTTTAAGATAAAACATCTGCTTATTTCAGAAGATAAGCAAAGTAATGGTGGAATTATTTTCTTGAAAGGGTAAATACACCTATGTTTTAAATGCTGAAGTTTAAAAGTCCCAGTATATTCTGCAGTAATGCCTAAGGCTTGAGATGTTTTTAATGATAAAAAAAAAAAAATAGAAATTGAAGTTGTGGCAGGGGTGGTTAATTGGTTTAATTATGAACTAATTCCTTTTTTCTGCTCAAACTGCATATGATTAAAGTGAGTCGATTTACCCTATTATTATGTCTGGCAACCAAAGACTTCGGAGCTCCCAGAAATAGCAATAGGCAAAACTATATCCACCCCAAATGGCAACTGAGAAAGGATTTATTAAGCAGCTTCACTTTGTACTGGTAAATGAGCCTTTCTTTAAAAAAAAAGGAAGAAATTAAAGAGTGCAGTTCCTAAATGAACCAGCTGCAGATGCCTTTGGGAGTTTTTGCAGTGTCATTATGAGAAGCAGGCTGTGTAACTTTCTTTTCAGATCTCCCCAGCTCTGTCCAGGTGTTGAGATGTAAGGATGTGCCATTCCTTACATCAGCTGCGCAGGATGGAGTCTCTCCCACACTGTCAGCACCTTGTGAACCACAGAAGGCCCTCTTTGTGAGCGTCCTCAAGGCACTGCACTGTGCCTATCTCATTCTGTTTCAAATTAACCTCAGTGGTAATTTCCGCTGCTCATGCTTTGTAAAAGGAACTCTATATCCTTCAACTGTTCTCTGCTTGCAGGGCACCATGGGAGGCTGTTCAGATATGCAAATTGTGTTGTCTCAGTATACTCCCAGGGGTAAGTTGTTTCCCCCTTTCTCTTAACAAACCTAAATGGAAAAATCTTGCAGGGGAAAGAAACGGTGACTCCAGGTTCTCCTTATGTATCTTTTCTCAAGCACAGGTCTTTTTAATGAAATTGAACCTTATTCTTTAAGAATATTGTCGGGACTTGTTAAAAAAAATAGTAAATGTGCAAAAAGGTTTTCAAATACACTGGGAAACTGTCACTGTTGTTTTCACATTTGCCAAGTATTTTGCTAAAAAATAAAATTTTTCTAGAAATTGGGTTCTGCTTATCTGATCTTGTAGAGAATGAAAAATAAGTATGTCTTGCTCACCCATTGTAGGTGCCTGGCTGGGATCCCTAGGACAAAACAAACGTACATAACATAAACTTTTAAGTGACAAAGAGAGCTTTCTAAGGAAATGAAGACTCCTCTGGAAGAAACCAGGAAATGCGTGCGCTCTAATGACTCGATGAAGACAGGACAGTCATAAAGAAATGGGGGTAAGGCCCACAGCATGCCAAGGGTGGGGTGCTGGAAAACACAGCAAGGTCTGCCAGCGCAGGTTTTTCTGTGTCCCAGTGTCTTCTGGGAAGAAGATATTATTTTGCTTCAGCCATCTGGAGGCCATCTCTTCAAGATGTCTTTAGAGCCCCTTTCAAAGACAGGATGAGAGGAAGTTTCAGAAAGAACTTCCGGATTCTGCTGTTTTTGCAGAAGCCAAGATGCCATATTCTAGGGATACTGTGTCCTAAAACCTATCCATTGCAGTATGTAAGTAGTTTTTAGTCACTGTGGGGAACTAGCAAGTCTTATTTTTGTAGCTTCATAGTGAAGAATAGAGTAGTGGTCAGACATGCTGAAGTTCAGATACCCACTTCCACCCAGGGTATGATCTAAGTCCCTTAAATCTCCAACTTTTAGCATCTTCATCTATAAAATTAAGGTTATAGCTGTTGTTACAAGTCCAGCGCAGGAAAATTCTCCTGTTATATAGTCATTCTCCATTTTAGCAAGACTCTTCTGGTACTGTTATTTAATTATTTGGGGAAAATGACTGACAGAAGATCTCACACCTTAGATCCCATCAACTGCTTTTGAATTTGTTACATTAACCTGTCAAATCAGTGGAATAGTTTCTGTAGTATTAATTTCATGGGAAATTTCCTAAGCAAAGCCAAATCAATCCAAACCAAACAGAAAATCTTTGCACCGGGAGATAAGGCAGCATTCAATCTTTACCCCTGGATTTCACACCAGTGGATGTTGCAGGCAGAATTCCTCCAAAGCAACCATCCTGAATGGGGAAGGGGTTTAGTCTGTATAGTATTAGAAGTGGGAGGTGCAAAGCAAGTGACCAAAGTTACATGATTGGTTATGTACATTTAATCATGTAGGGACAGACAGGCTAGTCTTGAAGCAGTAGAAACACTCCAGGAACCAGAAAAAGGCCTCTTCCAGAATGAGAACAGCTAAAGGCATTACCATAATATAGAAATGTTCCAGAGAGGGCCTTTACTGAATGACCATGAATTAGCTCAGGGTGCCTTAAGGTAGAGACAGTTACTGATTTAGTGCTCTTCTGCAGCTGGGCCGTGGACACTGTCAGGATCAGGAGAATTTAGCAAAAAAAAAAAAAAAAAAAAAAAAAAAAAAAAAAAACAGAACAGAACACAACTTGTTCAGAGACCTCCTAATCATGACACATCTGTAAGTTTATCATCTTATGAATAAACCAGCACAATGTTTATGCTTTTGTCACATTAACAATAAGCCAAGTAATAGAGATGCTAACGTGTAGATTTATTTTAAAAGTGTACCTGTAATCTGAATTATCCATAATAGATTGCTGTTAAACAACGTAACTATAGATTTTCCACCATGACTCTCACGTTTGTTTCTGTTTTAGCTCTCCTTCCCTTGCACACTGCAGTGGCCCCTTAGCATTTCTTTCTTACTGTTCTTGATGATTCCAAATTGCTCCAGCGATGCTTGCTGATCACAGAAACCTTTCGACAAAAGGAGGTCACCTCTCCACTAATTCTTACAGCCTCTTTCAGAGATAAAAGTGAATGGTCTTTCTAAGAATCATCCCTTAGCCACTGCTCCAGAAACCAAATTCCACAGAAGAAGCCACTGCTGAGTCCTGTAAAGGCAGAGGCCTCCTTCTTGACCAAGTTGACTGATGTGTAGGAGTACTAATTTTAGTACTTTGGAGCCCTCAAGCATCATGACTCACGAAGAAACTATCTACTATGTGGCCTCTTGCTAGAAATCTCGGCCAACTTCTGCTGTGGGGCAGAATTCTGTTTTAAAAATTAATTTCCACTTGTTAATTTGTTTTGATGGCATAAGAAATTGCTTACATGATAGAATAAAAAATGCAGCATGAAAAATGACATGCAAAATAACATTAACTCTACAAAAATAAGAAATTACTTTAAAAGAACTATGTATAAACATTAATAATGTAGAACTTTAGATGAAAGTATACATATTTTACTTTTACCCTAATGTGGTTGTTTTTAAAATTATTTCTATAAGTGAAATCATAAAGCAAGATAATGAAAGCAGTTTTAAATGGAACTTATTAGAATGACCTTTTGCTGAATTGTTCTCAGAATGAACTTGAGTTCTCCTACATCAAACAAGAGATTCACATTTTTCTCCTCCCCTTTGCCATTCCTAGATACCTCTCACAGCTACAAAAATGTCTAAATTTATAACTATTCTTGCTAGTTAACATTCTTAAGACCATGTCAAGCTTACTGTATGTGTAGAAACCTCTGCTTTACTGAGTAAAAAAAAATTATAAATGTATAAAAACATATAATTTATAAAAATCAATTTATAATATAGACTAACTCAATCATATCTTTACCTTATGGGTAAAACAAATGCTACTTTTATTTTGCTCACCTATAAAAATTATTGCTAAGATGGAACATAGTTGTTGTAGTTAAATAATACATTTTAAATTTCAAATTTTTATTTAATCATGTAGTTATTCATGCAAAAATCCATTTAAATAGTATTAATTTTGCAATTTGAATTTTCCATTTTTCATGTTTTCAAATGGAAAAAAAGAGAAAGGTCTAAATCTTTGCTATAATTCAAGTATGCTCAGAACACTAAGGTTCCAGCAGATGTCTGTGTATATGGAAATGAAATACGGAGGCGTGCAAGGAGATTGATAAAGATTTGCACATGTGTGCATATATTCAAGGCCAGGTGACTTCACAGATTTATGTAGGACAGGCTACATTTAAAGAATTGTGCCTTATAGATTTGTTTTTCTGATCAAGATTTGCATTGTCAGTAATTTTGTAAATGACTACCTTGAGACCACATTTGTTATTGGCTGGTCTGATGGATTAGGCTATTTTTGTCATTCTTCATTTAGAAAACATTTATTTGCTTCTGTTTGCTTGTGACAGATTGTACCAAACAGAAACTGGCTTCCAAATCATTGTAAAGTCAAGTGTTTTTTTTTTTTTTTTTTTTTTTTTTTTTTTTTTGCAAGGAATAGACAGTATGAATAGAACTTTAGAACGACGAGTAAGAAATATATGTCTAACAAAATCTGGTCCTTCTTTTAATAGTTAATCAATGCTTTCTCAATTATTACGCCTTTATGTCCATTTTACAATTTCATTATTCCTTTTTATGCAATCCAAGAGATCAGTGCTCTGGTTGGGACAAAAGTCTGTCCAAATTGCATCAAACTGTTGTCTGAATTTTCATTGAAAATATATAGATAAACCATTAGAAAGAGCATTAATTTACCTTAGGTTGTTTACTAATATTTTTAGGGACATCATTGACTCGTGAGAACAATTAACCAAAATGTTGATTTTGTTTTTCTTTCATCTTAACAGAGTAGGAAAGAGACATGACATACTGGACATGATATCCTTTTTCACTGTAGGGTTCACTTCTATAACAAAAGACAGACTAAGAACAGATAAGCACACAAGTTCATTTCATGGAAGTTTGACATTATATAATGGACTTTAAAGATGAAAACTGAAAGACGCAGGGGAAAGAGTGAATTTCTAAAGAGTTGTGCAGAAGTATAATTGGAGAACATGAGAGTCTAATTTATCAGTAAAAAACGGGAAAACTTAGTAAGACACATCTATTCACCTTTGGTCTTTGTGTGACATTTCTTATAGCACAGGCGAGACAGTTACCGCATGAGGATCTTCAGGGGAGAAGAAAAGAGAAGGTACACAAGTATGTGTCTGAGATTTGGCACCCTGCTTTAGGGGATGGCAGTAGGGGCAGAGTGAGAGAGGACTCCACGCTCCTGCTCTTCTCAAATTCCACAGCACTCTATTTTGGTGTTGTCATGTGGGTATGAAAATGCCTTCTTTTGTGCTTATATTATGGTTTGGACAAGTCTTGTACTAAAAGCTCAAGTTGAGAGTTAATTCCTCAGTGGAGCACTGTGAACTTGTGGTGCCTTTGGGAGGTGATTACATCATGGAACATCAGCATTAAGAATAGAATTAATGTCTTTCTTGAGACACTGAGTTAGCTCTTGTAGGAGTGAGGCAGCTCTAATGGGAACAGATGAGTTACCGTTAGAGCAGGTTGTTAGAAAGTCAGATCTCCCCGCTGCTTTCGCCTATCCCACGCGCATCAGTTGGCCACTTCCACACACACTTTCTCTAGGCATTGTTGTATGTCATACAGTCACATAGCAGTAGACCTTTGCCACTCAATATACAGCATCTCTGACCCCAGAATTTGATTATATGAATGTCTTTTGTTTAGTGTCAGGGATTCTTTTCTTTTTTTCTGGACTTGGGTAAAAATCAAAGAATTCTTCACAATCACCCCAAAAACCACTTGCATCCAACTGCAGTGAGAATGAAACGAAGACCCATTTAGCAGATGTGAGCTCCCCAAGAGCAAAGCTTTTGTGGGATTCATCTACCTCCAGAGAGAACATTACTGACAGTGGGAGCTCACACAGGCATTGCTCACAAAGAGAGGTTATCTGTTAACTCACTAACACCTGAACGAAGACCAGGTGAGACCAGGCGCTTTAATACCTGTTTCACAGACAAAAACACAGGATCTGCAAGCTGTGTCACTGTGATCAAGTCACACAGCTGTGAAAAGAGACAGCCAGGGTTTGTGGTGGAATAACCAGTTGCAGCACAAAGATTTTCCCAGCGTATTAACTGCTCATGAAGTGTTGAATAAGACAAAAAGTTGTGTGTGCATTCTCCCAGCTGTGGAAGGAAACACAAGATTGCCATATTTGACTCTTAAAACTATCTGTCCCTGATGCTTTTCAGCCGTGGTGGAGCCACCCATTTTCACTGTCATTCTCTAGAAGTAACCGGATACAATTATGCTATGATGATGATTAAAATTAATCATAATTAAATCATTTTCATTGGTTGTGTAAGCTTTTGAAGTATCTTCATTTTAAAGAGTTTATTTATTGCTATCCAAGAGGACTCAGTTACTCAGAGTTGGAAAGATTTTGCAGGTTGAGGTGCCGCTGAAGTGCTGCTCATAAAAGCTGATCCCCAAAAGGCAGCCCAAGTTACATGACCTACACTGCTTTGGTGTCTCAGGAGATACGGTACCAGGACCAGAACTTTGCAAAATATTTTGAGTTTATGAAATCAGAAAAAATAAAATCTATATGATTTAATAAAATGTAATTACGAACTAATTGTAATTGCAAAATGAAGTTGTGCCTCTCTCCCGTCCTTCCTTGGGTCCTTCCTTCTTCCCTCCCTTCCTATCTCCTGCTCCCTTTTTCTTCTTTTCCCCCTATTTTCCCTCTTCCTCCCTCCCTCCCTTCCTTCCTTCCTTTCTTCCTTCCTTCCTTCCTTCCTTCCTTCCTTCCTTCCTTCCTTCCTTCCTTCCTTTCTTCCTTCCTTCCTTCCTTCCTTCCTTCCTTCCTTCCTTCCTTCCTTCCTTCCTTCTGCCTCCATCTCTCCCTCATTTCCTCCTATTTGCCCACCCATCTTTCCTTCATTTATTGGAGGAAGGAAGCAATTATGTCAATATACCTAGGGATTCATAAAAGTCATTTCTCACCCTTGGTTGATGATGAGAGAAAATAACTATTCATCTGTGTGCTTTTTATTCCTCATAATCAATTATACTGGTAACTGAATCTAAGAAAACAATTGCACTTTTCTTATAAAATTGAGATAATTCCTAAGTGCTTTCACATGTCTGCTGTTTTCTCTCTTGTGAGAAACTCAGAGGTGCGCTGTTTGCCTTTGTGACTCAGTTTTGCTAATAAATAATATAGGCAGCAGATGTCAATTAGAAATAAAAATGTGAGTGTTACAAAATATGACTTCCTCCTTTCACTCAAGAAAGTTATTATTTTTGTTTAGCATTCATGCGATTTTCTTAAGTAATTTCATCATTAACTGAAGAACAATTTTGATACTTTGCCACGTAGAGCTAAATTAATAGAAATTAAATTATAAAATAACGATGACTGCAAAAGTCAGCTACTAAATCTGGAGCTACTGCATTTTAAACCTTCCAGAATTTTTTAATCTTCAACCTTATTAAGAGAACTGGCTTCCACTATGATAGGCTTACATTTTGATGGTACCAGTGTAGTGGCCACTGGCTACGTATGACCATGTAAGTTCAAATTTGAATTAATCAAAATGAGATGAGATTAGAAGTTCTCCAGTGACACTAGTCACATTTCATGTGCTCAGTAGTCATGGTTGGAACATGTCTACCACATATATAGAAATCCCCATCATCAAAATTCTATAGGACCAATCTTGGAAGTCAAAATAGTTTTTTTTTTTTTTTTTTGGTAAAAGATGAGAAATGAAATATCTTAGGCTTTGTGGGTCACATAGTCTTTGTTGCAAAGACTCAGTTCTATCATTGTCAATGAAAATAAAAGTGACACACAAGAACAGGGATGTGACTGACTTACGAAAGCTTTACAAAAATGGGCAGTGGGCTGAGAATTTAGCGGTGCAGTGTAGTTTGCCAGACTCTGGACTTGATACAGGGCACTAAGATTTATTGAACACATAGTAGACTTCCAATAAATAGTAGTCTTTGTTACTTTGAGTCTTTTATAAGAAGAGGAATAAAAACACAATGCCTAGTGACCCAAAAATCACTCAGATTTCATAAAGATGATTTAGTATGTTCCAAAAATATATCATGTATATAGAAACAATGAATGGTATTTACCTATTATAGAAAGATGTTCTTGAGCCATCTTCCTATGCTGCAAATGTTTGTAGGTTAAGGGCTAAATTTATGTTAAAAGAACAGAGGCACAAATAGTCATACAATTTAGTGTAGTGATTCAGGTACGTTTTAGTTTTATTTTATTGAGTTGCATTTTTAATTTTTTTTATATTCCATCTTTAACTTTTATAATCAGGAAAAGTACTGAGTAAATAAAGGTAAATAGAGTTTCGTCTTTTTGGAGCATTTTTCTGCTTTCATGAAAGAATGTACTGAACAAGCACTGCTGTAACTGAAGCATAGCGTTGTCCAGTATTTAGTCTGTTTCTATCTGCATATTTTATAAACACTGTTGGTATGAGACAAAATAATAATCATGTGGAGGAGGCCCAGCATATAAATCTTGAGTAATTTTGGAATACAGTTTAATGGACTGCTGGATACGTTATGACTTCCAGACAATCATTTAGGCTTTCGGTGAAGTTTTCATAGAAAAAATCTTTATTTCTCTCACCACTATTATCTTCTTCTTCACATAAAGGTCAAGAAAAAAAACCTTTTTCACATTTCCTTACATGATCCATATTGAATCATCACTGGCAATCAGTACAAACATACTGCCCAGGGATGCATGTAACACAAAAGCAGTGACCCAAACAAACTCCACGTTCTCTGAGAATTTATAACTTGAGAAAATGTCCACAAGAATGTATTAGGCATAAAAATGGATTCATACATTATTTGGACTTGGGTTATAATGCATACAAAAACATACAGATATCCAACTGCGTCTTTAAATTTACAATTCAGTTTTAGTCTTCAAAACTCTGCCTATTTCAGTGCTTTTTGTGTTATGTATGTATACACACAGGACAGAGTAATGATGAACAAAAGTTTTGAATGTACTGTAAAAGCACACAGATAGTGAATTTGAAATATATCTTAAAGATAAGCAATGTTATAAAAATATTTAGCATACCAGGAAATTCAGTATAATCAAATTTTCTGACAAATGCAACTTTTTGCACTTTTTGTTTGGAAGCAACAACAGAATAGCAGGGAGAAGATTTAGAATGATATTTTAAAGAATGCTTGTACTTAAACTATTCTATTTTTAACTTCAGTATCCCAATATTGTGAGTCTAAATTGCTACGATACTGATAATAAAAGCAATTCTCTGAAGATGTCAAATGTCAATATTTTTACATTCAAAATTCAGTTAGAGTGTAGGTCCATGTGCATAAGAAAGGAAACCTGTTTCTCGAGCAAACTTCATTTGGGTAATGGTGGGATTTTCCATCTGAGATGGTTGTGCAAGCATTGGCCAAGGAGACTTATAGGAAAGACGGGATGTTAAGTTTTACCTCACGATACATTTACAAGTCCTGTTTGGCATCATTTTTTCTCTGAGAACAAGCTATGCTATATATTTCAGAGAAATTGAAACCATATGTTGACACCTAAAAATTTTTGAGAAATACCACTGGAGTTTGCAAGAAAACATATAAATATAATCAACTCCTTATAGTGTATGTCTACTTAGACGTACTATAATACTTTACTTGTTTTTGGAGGAGCCCCATTAGTGATGTCTTAATGCTATTAGTTGTAATACCCAGCCATCTAGTTGAAACTGACAGAGTTAATACTAAATTCTTCATCTTATATTTCCAAATTGAAATGAAAAGATTTAATAGTACCAGCTTTAATTTTAGTAATAATTGTATTTCCTTGATGATGATTGGTATATTAGGTTTTCCTGCTGAAAGCCTAGGGTCTTGGAACAAAATTTTAGGCCAAAATGGTGCTTCTAAGAAAACACAGTGTGGCGTATATTTAGGACGGCAGCTAACTTGGTGAGCAACAAAACAGCAACTCTCATTTCTAGTGTTCTGGCCATTTTCTTTTGTCTACAAATATTGAAAAATAACCCTCCTTGAATTACATTTTAATTTAAAATTACATTTTAATTTAAAATTGGGTACATACCTGATGGGAACTGCTTGTGATCATTCAATTTTGTTTTAAAATGAGATGCAGAAAAATTCATCTATGGCTTCAGAAATCTACCTACACAGAATTTCCTGTGGTAATAGTATACTATAGAACGTTCTTCACTTCAACAAAAACATTCTCACAGAGGGCTCCATTCATGTTTAAAGTTTTTGTGTGTAAATTAAAAGATATGCTTAATTAAAATCAGTGGTATTGTCACATTCAGAACAACAAAACAAAAACACTCAGTGGTACCTCTGCAAGGTCAGATTTTCAAAATCTACCCACGTGGTAAACACAGGGAGAACTGTGATTGTGATTTAATCATGCTTCGAATTAAGCTGAAAACTTTATTAATAGTATCCTAGGAAAAGAATGCTGCAGACAGTGATTTGCCAGCTGTGTTGTGCTCTGTTCCTTGGGAATTCCCATTCTTTGCTGTCACAGCTGTGAATCCTGATCTTTAATCTCTTTGGTGTCACTGTCACAGTTGAACACTTTCCCCCTATTTCTGTGCGTCATTTTGTAATTGCTGGTGAAATCTACTGTTGGAAATATTTTTAAAAGCCAATTTCATCCACGTACTTTTCCTCAATGTTTCTGTTACATACTTATCTTCAAATTATATTTTAGGAACACTATATTTCTACTTGTTTCAAAGACAATCTGAGTAAACTTGTCAGCTTTGTGATGTTTGTAATATATTGAAATTACCTAAGATTCTTCATACTTCTGCTGTTAGCAATTTTTAGTGGAATTTTTGGTATTTTTATTGGTATTTTTTGTGAGTGTATGATTCCAGTACATAATGTTTACATTCCTTGTGTGGATTTGAGATATATATATATATATATCTCAAATTTGAGATATATATATATATTTATATTGAGATATATATATATTTTTTGAGATTTGAGATATATATATATATATATATATATATATATATATAACTAATACATTTTAGTTCCTTTTTTTGTTCCTTTCCTCCTCCTGCTCCCATGTCCTTGGTATTTTCATCCTGTTTTGTTTTAGCAGTTGTGGTGGTGTGTGTATCAGAAACAGATGATGTATTTCTATTCTTCACTGAAGCTTCACTGAAAACCATAACCTCAAGTCCCACCTGTACCTTAAACGCAGTACAATGCCTCAGTTTCTGCAGTGCAAGTTTACAAAGGAATTGGATGTCATGGAATTTTATATCCTTCTTTTAATATTCTCATAAAGGAGAACAGTATTCCCAACACACACACACACACACACACACACACACACACTCACACACACACACCGCACAG